GCATCGTAGTCGGCATCGTCAGTGAGTATCGCCATCCTAAGCACCACACAGCTACTCGTCAAAGAGACTGGTAGTCTCGAGACTCTACTTAAATGCGAAACATAAGTAACGTAGTCGATTGTTATAGCAGATATACGTTTGTTTCATCTACAATCCCACCAAAAAATATGATATAGCAAAAGGCCTGGCCTTCTTTGAAATTAAAATTTGTTCTGTGACCCAAGGGCACCTGTGGTAATGTGGTCGAGTGGTTATTGTGTCAAGCTCCCATTCTGCCCTGTCACGGTTCGACTCCCGCTGGGGGTGTTGATAAGACCGATGCGAGGTCGAAACTGCAGTCCACTTCTGTCTGGATGAGAACAAATTTTGGGAAAGCAAGGCTATGTGAAATTCAATGGAAGCGTCAGCTCTACTCATATTATTATGGGAAAATTCTACTATCAGTCCTTCATTACCTTAAACGAAATAGGGAGAATACATCTCATATGTACCATACAATTTATGCTTGTGCGTAGGCCAGTTTTTAGTCCCTTACCTGGAAAGCCGGTGCGGAACTGGTTCTTTCGTGTAGCTTGTAGGGCTTGACCGAGACCCAACTGGCGGCAGACGACGCCAGCCTCCTTTAGGCTCCAACTATCATCACAGACCAGGCCCCAGGCGTAGCCCCGGTAGATGAGAACTGTACCGGAATTTTCTTCCAGCCCATCCACGAGTCTAATATCACCATCTTTGAATTCGGTAGGCGTTACCGCCATTGATGCTGCTAGAAGGCCGGACAGGATGATCAGCATTATGTACCGGTTGAGGAGCGTCTTATAAAGGATAGCTGGAGTTATCAAAAAGAGCTGTTTTGGCATCGCCACGTTGAAGGATGCGCAACTGTATGTTAAAAATATCCGCCAGACGGCTCCGATCCTGGCACTTCTCAGAGTGAATATATGATAGAAGCTACTGTACTATAACTCCTTCGAGCAGAGTGTTTACAGGCCGACCAATAGTCTTGAAATGCCTGTTACATTCTTTGGACAAAGCAGGTAAATAAATGCAAAACAAATTGGTGTCATCCATCACGAATATATTATTATGCAATCACTCGTTGTTCTGTCATGCTGAGACGTGTAGGTGCGCCAGAAAATCTCCATTTTCACCTGTTCACATGACAAGAGGCAAGAGCAACGGTGTCGGACAGAAAGGTGAGAATAGTCTCGTTTTGTCTGTTGCGGGGATAAAAAAACTGTGTATGACATCAACTGAAGGCTTATAGTGAAGCAACACAAGACGGCATGTGATTGGGGTTTGCAGATTTCGTACACCCAAATGAGACTTGCATACCAGAAAACGTGCCTCCCTTTCTTCAGCTCGAGATAGCCGAGACATTTTACCCGTCAAAGCAGCCACATGGACTTACAAGTATAGTATCAGTAATAATTGAGGTAGGTTTTAAAAGCAAGTTTCCCTGAGTAACCCAACTGGTCTTCCGGCCAGAATGAGATATTTGCACATTTATCGACCTTGTTCAGAGCCTAACCTTCTCCTGGCCACTTCAGGCCATGGATTCTGCAGAGATTCTGTCTACCGTTTCTTCCGGCTGGCACCAACAAAATGATACGACTATAAAATAAAGTGCTACACCGTTTATGGCCTTGATCCCATAAAGCCTCGATTATAGATCAGTCAGATATCCCCGGCTCCAGAGAGTATAGAATAATGAACTTAAGCTTCTGAATGTGATGATAAGTTAAGAGATTCCTAAGTAAAACCCCTCAGTTATCAGAATTTGTTCACAGCCCTAGGATTTGTTAATAGCCATGGCTACTGCTCTGCTTTTATTTTCCTTTTTTATTAGGTTGACCACCAATTATAATGGGTCTCCAACTAATCTTTATATCTTTTACAGGATTATTTGGAATAAAAGCTGGCTTGCCTTACTCACCTTTCTTACACCGTTCAAAAGGATAGCTCAAATGGCTTTAAATATACAATTTGGATAGCATAATCTTAAGCTTCGAATAAAGCTATTTGGCCAGGTGTGATTACCTGTCCAGCTTCAAGCCTTAAATTCCAGTTGGTCGCATGGATTTTCATGCTTGGTCTTGCCATTTGTAAACTCGTTACTCAAACTCATCCTGACGACCAGTTGCCTACGAAGTCAAAAAGCGTAAAGTGACCAAATGCAATCCCAGTTATTAGATTTTGCCTAAGTTCTGGAGATCAGTAAGGTGAATAAAAAGTACCTTTTTTAGGATTCCACATGGCACATGCCGAATGAGTAAGCTTCAAAGCTCAAAA